GCAAAGGAACATGTTGCTGTAGATTATCTTCACGTTCCTCTGGTCTGCATGGAATGAAAAAGTGACGCACAGTTCTTACAGGTTAATGTCAAGGATGCTAACGGGTCACACAGCTCAGCAAAGATCAGATTTATGGCCTCATCTCCAGTATTCTGCCTTGTGAGTTTAGATGCTCCACGTGAACCTGCCTAACATAATTCTCTCTCTCACTGTTAAGTGCCAATCTGTTTCAACTCTTAATTATATCATTTTCATTTTGCAATCTAAATGATGTGTTTATACTTCATCTCACTCCTAGAATATCATCCTACAGAGGATGGAAGGGAACTTTTGCTTTAGGTTATACCTAGAATACTTACCTCTTTGGGAAGTGAGTATTTGGAAACTGGCAGTAACAGCATACCTTATTACTATCCTAGCATCTTTACCCTGGATTCTATGGTAACCACGTGACCACCTGTCACAGTGGCCATGCACCAGTTCAGGGTACCGAAAGTCATTTTGAAATAGGTATTCGAAGACAAGCATAAAGGCCTAGGCTAAACTTTGTTGTTTATTGCTAACTTAAAATAGCTGTTTTCAAACATTTCTCAAGCCAAATCTTAATACTTAAAGCAGTACTGCACTGGTTGAAGGAGAGAAAAGGTGTCGGCTCCTCCCCTAAGTTTCCTCCTAAGGCCTCCAGTATTCTAGCAGGTGTGGTCGAAAAGCCACTGTGCTAAAGCAGAGGGCTCATTAAGGGCTCGACTCCAGGAGGGGACGAAGAGAAGCTGCAGACTGGAAGGAAGTACAGACTCCGCCAAAACAGTGTGTGTGGCAGGAAAAGAAAAGCTTGTATATTATGTTTTATATATTATATTTTAACACTAAATTTATTGAGACATGAGATTAAAACAAGTTACCTTTGGGCTCTATAATTACATGAGGTGCTCAAAGTGGTGTCATTTGCTTCCAGATGTTTATTATGGTGACCTGCTCAATTGTGGATACGTATTTTTGGTGGACTCTTTGTAATCAACACAGCCAACAAATGACTTATGTCAAGAATGTATAAAGAGCTTTTGAAACTCAACAGTTAAAATCTAATTCAAAAATGGGCAAAATGTGTGAACAGAAGGCAAAGGCACATGAAAGGATACTCACTATAAGCCATTAGGGAGGTGCAAATTAAAACTGCAACAAGATATCACCACACATCTATCAGAATAACTAAAATAAAAATAGTGATCACGAATGCTGGGGAGAGGGCTAAGACACTGGAGTACTCATTTGTTGCTGGTTCAAATGTAAACTGGACAGATGCCCTGGGAGTCAGTGTGACAGTTTATTACAAAACTAGACCAAGCTTACCATACAACATAGCAATTGCACTCTTAATTTATGCCAGAGAAATGAGAAATTCCACTCATGCGATGATACTGTATCAATTAATAATGCCTCTCCTAAAACTATCCCCCCACTTTTATCAGCTCTTGGCAGATTGCATACTGTTTACCTGATTCTTTATGGTGTAAGGCCTTCCACCAGAACAGTGATGGCGAACCTTTTAGAGCTTTCAGTGATAACAAACAGCTGGCTTTGGGCATGTGTGCCATAGGTTCACCACTACTAGAATGCACTAGAATGTAAGCTTAATTTAAAAAAGGGAGTTTAGTAACATTTATTGCTGCATTTGTAGCAGCAAGAATCATACTTGACAGTAAGTATGTGATAAGTAATAAGTGGATTAATTAGCCATCAGTGGAAGGGGATTACCAAGCAGATTTTAGAAGAACTTGATACTCCCACCAAACTAAGCAGGTGTTTTTGTGTCTGCCTTTGCACAGTCCCTGACTGTTGCAGGAAGTTGAAAGTGAACAGCAGGAATTCTTAACACTTCCTCATTAGTAACCCCATTATAGAAGAGCCACACAGTGAAGAGTCTTTAGCAGGGAGCTCATAATCTAGTCGGAGGGAATAACGTACAAACATTGAGACAAAGTAGACTGAACCCACTATCGAAAGAGAAATTCAGGCATCTTTGAAGAATCCAGGGGAATTATTTTCATATCAGGAAGGGCTTGATGGAAGAACTGATACTTACGTTGGAAACTGAAGCATCAATAAAATGTAACAGGCAGGCATAGATCAGGAAGGCATTCTTCCAAGGAGGAACAGACATAACTGGAGGAATGGGTGTGTGGTATGTGTGTGTTGAATAGAGCTCATGGGGTAGTGCTTCAGGGAATAGCCAGTAGGAGGTAGTGTGGCTTACCTAGCACCACCTATAGGAGGTAGTGTGGGAAATAAGGCCAGAAAGCCGTGTCCTATAACGTAGGTCTCCTTGAACACCTCACTGAGAGCTGGTACTTGGTGAGGTACAGCGGTGACAGAACTGTAACCTGGAACCGCAGTGCTGAGAAGGATTCCTGGGGTCTCAGCTCAGTAGAAAGGGCTGCACGGTGAGCTAGTGAGTGATAGCATTGCTTCCGTGTGGCACCCTGCCTTCTCTTCCTTCACCATTCTGCCTGTCGTGAAAAGGATAAAATTCGCTTTTGAAGTCATTAGAGTTGGATTTGAATCTTAATTTTACCACTCACTGGGTGTATAATCTTAGCCACAGTGTGGTCACCTCAGACTCGGGCTTCCTCATTGGAAAATAGAAGTTGGGATCCACACAGCAACCTGCTAAGACCTTCTGAGACCGCCAGTGTCAGGAAGTGAATGTGAAGTGCCCAGCTGGGACTTTGCATGTGGGAGCTCCTGAGTAAGTGTTACTTCCCCTCCTCCCAGGCAGTTTTGAGGAAAAAAAATCTTAGTTTGGGCTCAGGGGAGAAAACGACCAAGATGCTGACAGTGTGCACCTGAGAAGCTCCCCAGTGTGTGACCCACAATGAGGCCTTCAGTTCCCAGACGTGAGTCCGGCTCTCATATGACTCTAGGTCACAGTTACCTGTCACCTCTGACCTCACTACGTACCAGCTCCCAGCTACAGGGTCAGGGAGACCTGCATGACAGGACACAGCTCTCTACCTTGTCTGCCAGTTCTTCCCACACTACTTCATGTGCTAGTGGTCTCTTGGACTGATTGGTTTGAATTTATTTGGCCATTTAAATGAGCACCTAATAGTTTTACAAAGGAGTCAGACAAGGTAAGAAATCCAAAGTGGGAATTTTTGCAAATAATCTTACAATTCCTATTTTTAAAAATTGCTTACTAAACTTTTATAAGCTTTTATCAATTCAGAAGAAATTTTGAAATATCCCTCGCTCAGTAGAGCTTTGATTTATTTACATTTAATACATGTATATTAATGTAAATTTTTAAATAAAATTTTCAAAACATTTATTTAACTTAGAAATTTGGGCAAAACGATAATGATATTCAAAGTACAGCCTTTTACAGTTAGATTGGCTTTGCTAATATATAATACAATTAAAAGGAAATACTTGCTGGTTTGTCTTATTTAGGGTTAGGGAAATGCTTCTGAGAGTGGATTTAACAGAGATGTGGCATAAGTTACCAAGGAAAGATAGGTTTCCCAGATAAGCTGTTCATACCCTAGAATTGAAAGGACACAGTTTTCATCTCATTTGTAGCATTCTGTCTAATGTCCCTTGAAAGATCCTTTTTAGTCTCTATAAGTGTTTTGGAGTTTGGGGGGCTTTTTTTGGTTTTTGAGGGACTCAGGATGTTTTCTACATATTTAAAGCTTAACATTTAAAAAATGAATTTAGTTTTAGTGGAAAGATTGAAGATTCCATTTTTTCTTCAGGTAACTACCAGGGAAAGAGCTCAATGTTGGGTAGCTTAGAATGTGAACTTTGGCAAGTCTTTTACCCTTACAAGGCTTCTGCTTCTTCAGCTGTGAAATGCTGGATGACAGCTGAGGGAATTTCAGCATTCTTTGAAGTGATCTAGATATCTTCTTAACTTCTTTATTTTTCCAAAGCTTTTGCCCAATTCCCTTAGAGGTCCACCATGGGCCGGGTTTAGGAACTTTTGCCAGTGCTTTACCAAATACTGTCAGACTGCTTTTCAGCGCCCACCAGCAAGCTTTCTAGGGTTTTCCTTCATGTCTCTGTATTCCCTTTCGCTCCAGCCATGAAAAGCACCCTACCCTTGTGCTGTGTACAACATGGAATTCTGTATCTGCTATTCAAGTGCAGTGGCTACATAGAGCCTTATAATGTAATCTTCATTCATACTTCTTACTTTTAGTGACATTTTTCCTTAAGCTTCTAGAATCTTTTGAAGTTTGTTTTTTTCTATTAGAATAAGCATGTAATAAATGCTTGAGATTCCTTGACTTTGTTAGGAACCGTGGTTCTTGTGAAAACTTCCATATTGACTTGTTTTTAGATGAACAGCCAAACTTGGGTATTTTTCACTACAAAATTAATCATATATATATATATAAAGGTCATTTGTCCTATTAAATATATGTGTAGTCGTAGTCAAGAATGGCAATTTAAATTTAAAGTTAGTTGTGGTTGGAAAAAACCTGTGTCAGTAGTTAAGCATAGTGTTCTATTGTTCTTGAAATTTGAAAATAATAATCTTAATGTTTCACATTTGTTTTCAATTTACCTATTGGTAAAATATACTGTTTTACATCTATATACATACTGTTTTCATTTTCTCTGTTGTTTACAAGGGAAAATTTGAATCAAAGATTCTAATAAAAATATTTTTAGTGAAATGTAATTGTTACTGGGAAGAATAATAGGAATAACAGTAGTTTGCCTTTAAAGGATGAATTGTTATTACTGGCATCTTTATTAAATGTCTCTTACTTTCCAGTGTTGAGATTTTCCAAATCGCCAGCCAACTCTTTCTGTACTTAGATGTTATATAAAAATGTAACAGAAATCTGTCCAAGGATTTTTGATTTTACACTGTGATTTGATTTGTATTATTTCAGTGTGTTATTTGGACTTTGATAACTTTACAGATAAGGCTACTTTTTCTTAAGATTTTGAGTTTTCATACAATCTTTCTTATTTCTTTTTAAATCGAGGTGACTGTGGAGATCACGTTGTCATAATGAACACACGACACATTGCATTTTCTGGAAACAAATGGGAACAGAAAGTGTACTCCTCACACACGGGGTAAGATGATGACATTGTCCAGGAAAATCGTTAAAATCTATCACTTTAACAAACCTGTTGCTTTTATTTAAAAGGAAAAATGTGTCTCCAAAATTGCCATTTAAGAAAATATTAATTTTACTCATGTTACATGTATAATTTATTCCACCAAAACAAACAGGACCCCATGGCAAATACTAGATATTACTTGACAGTATTTATTCATGCTGCGAGCTTTACACAGCCTCTCTCTGATCAAAATTATTCTCATGGTTTTAGCCAGTCTCACTTCTTTCTGCTCCCAGTAGTTCATCTTCTTGCTGTTTCCTCCCTGTCCTAACTTCTGAAATCTCACCAGGGGTCTAAGAGGTCCTGGGCCTTCTCTGGCTCAGTCTTGTTGGCCAGCATCTCTCATGTGACTTCCCCCCAGCGGGCTCCGTTGCTGGCGTCCAGCGTCCGCCCTGAGCCAAGTCCACCACAAGCCAAGTCGGTACCTTCTGTGTGGCCACGCTTCTCAGAGCTGTGCCGCTGGCGTGGTTCCTGAGCCTCTCACCCTTCTCAGACACGAGCCCAGCCTACCGGGCCTCTGACCCCGCGAGCGCTTCAATTGTGCTCTGATCCAACCGCGAGGCCTTAACTTGGCTCCTTGTTAACTTTTATCTCCACTCCTTGGATGTTTTGTTATAAGATCAAGACAAGTTTAGATTTAATGAAGCATACCTTCTATACTATGTACATCTCCAGTCCCCTTTCCCCCTTTTATGTTTTATTTTGTGATGGTCTTGCTAAGTTGCTAAAGCTGGGCTCAAACTTGGCCTCCACCTCCCGGAGTGCTAGGATTACAGGCGTGCATCACCATGCCTGGCCCACAGAACCTCTTTGTAAATCCTGTTTTTACTCACTGTGTAGTAGTGTATTATGGTGATGAGAGATACGTAGAGAGATAGAATTAAATTGTATGATCCACCATACTTGATTATTGCCCTACTTTTTGAAATGAAAATTGTGGCTTTTACAAAGAGCTACAGAACATCTTTATCCATTAACTTCTTAACTCCTGTTATTTTTATATGATTAAATAAACATTCACTAATAACTTTTTAGGGATTGGATGAATTGAGTCTGTTTGTACCTTGAACTCTCACATCTAACTTGCCCAAAATGTTTTGGCCTGAGTTAGAAGTACAGCTCACTGCTAGGGGTACCAATGGAATTTATTTCATCATTTCTTGAAGACAGAACCCTTCATGTTTATCAGTGTATCACCAATACCCGTTTAGTAAGTGTTCACTGAACTAACTGAATGCAAAGCCCGTGGCTGTCGCTGACAGATCTTCCCATGCTCCATCCAGGGTGTCCTATGTGGAGGGAGCCTGCAGCTCTTTTCTCTCTAGCAAAAATCAACAAGTATTGGATTACTCGAGTCTTTCCCCTGCTCAGAATTTTACATTAGCTTTTCAGATAGCATAGAGTGAAGTCCAGGCCCTAAAATACAGCATCAATGGTATTATGCTTTAGAGTTTACCATCCCAGTATTAAAATTAGAAAGATAAGGCTTTAGCATAGAATTTACAAAGTATTTTTCCACGGAGACAATACAGGAACTGAAGTCTAGACAGGTATTTTTTTCTGAAACTGAAATTTCATGAAAAAGATAAAATAATACTAGTTTGAAAATTTGCTGTCTTTCTTAACTAAAATGTTTTAAATTTTTTGAAAAAATTATGAAAGGAATCATATTTAGATAATCTTAAGTTTTTTTGTAGTCTACTGGCTTTCCAATTTTTTATTCCTTTCCTAATAATCATTGAAACTTTATTTTTCTGTTCAGGGTCATAAACCCTTGCATGTATGTATTGTTTTCAATTTCTTTTATTCCCAGTTTTTATTTTTATTAGTAAATGTTTAAATTTCTTAAGCTCTTTTGCAAATGCTTTATTTGACTCAGAAATCTGAAGTGGATGGAGCTGTTATTTTTTACATGAGTAAAATCATACGTAGACAGGTAAAATTAGTTGCTTAGTAAAGTGAGAGTCACTGGTAAAACCTGTTTTCCAGACCTGGATCTGGAAAATCCAACTAAATTAACTAGTACTATCCCAAATATTTTTATTTATTTTTATTTATCCTTTTTTTTTTTGGTACCAGGGATCGAACTCTGGTCCTTGTGCCTTCATAGCAGGCGACGAAACCACTGAGCTAAATCCCCGGCCCAGTTTATCCATTTTATATAAAACTTGATCTGAACACAGTGAATTTTTTAAAAACTCAGAGCCACACATAACTCTTAGCGGCCTTAAACCAACAGTCAGTAGGAAAGCAGGATCATTCCTGTTAGAGCATGAACTTGACTTAGAACCAAGGGCTCTGAGTGCCAGTTTCCCGGGGCCTACCCCTGTCTTATCCTGCTTGTCCCATTTGGGAACGAACATGAAGTATTCTGGCTCATTGCTGTTTTGTTTTAAACCAAGCCATGATAAACTACCCACAACAAGTGAATGAGTGAATAACTTAAAATTCGGAAAGCATAGCTACACCAAGAAATTTTTCCAAGATGGAGAACTGCTTATGATGTAGTCATAGTTGGCCACTCCAGACATTTCAGACAGCACAGGTTGCTACATAACTTTTAAGACACTAATAAACAGCACAGTTAGAAACAAGTATAATGCATTAAAACAGTCTTCTTGTTACAGAGCAATGATTAAGAATACAATACCATAGCCCACTCCAGCTCCAACATCTTTGATTCTTTTAACAGCTACCCCGGTGGATTTCAGCAGGTGACCGCCATCCAGCTTCACCTGCGGGACCCGGTGGCAGTAAGTCTCCTGGGTAGAATCAGTGTCTGGGGAAAGACTGGTTCGGGCACTGTGTTTTCAGTCTCCTCTCTGCTAATGTAGTTTTCATTCAAAGCCCTAATCCTTCCCCATCCAGGTTATTGTTTCTGTTCAAGCCACTGGGTAAGCGGGTGTGCTTTGGAACAACATCTCTGGGAATTCTCTGTGATTTGTGCTAAAGATTTATTTACCGTCTGGCAGCCATATGGGAGTAGTACATAAACCTGAGACTTCTTTAAGGTGAACTTTGGATGTAAGAGGTTTTGAACCCTGATAGCAATAAGCAGAAAGCTTTTTAGAAATTTACCCCACTGCACACCCTGCTGTTGCCGTCCAGAGAAATCTGCACCTGCAAAGGGGTCTCCCGGCCCCTTGGTGACCTTTTAAAATGCGAGCTCTGCCCTGCACGGGTGCCTTCAGGCAAATGCCGGCCCTAGGACTCTTTTTCTGAAGTTCCTTCTCATTTCTGGCCTTCTTTTGGCTCCATGCTTTAAACAATATTTTTATGAACAATGTTATTGGCTTCATTAGTGTTTATTGCGTCATGGTTACTTGAGTTATGCACTAGAGAAGTTCTAATCCGTGGGTTAGCTGCAGTATTGCACAAAGCAAAGTTTCCTATCACTCCGTATTTTTCCTTCTTTAACTCTCAGTAGAAATGGCTTTATCTCTGCTCACAGGGTAGAGAGTATTTGCCCCTTTAGGGACTCTTTTAGATGTTACTTAAAAATGGTCATAAATGAACGGTGTTAGAATCTGAAAATACTTTTTTATTTGTTTATTTTCCTAAAATAGTGGGGGGGGTGTATATGTAATAAGCCCTGAGAGACCATTTAAAAGCTCTGCATTTTACTGTTTATTTTGGATCATTTGTATCTGTCTTTAAAAACGTATGCTCAGAGATTGCTTCCTAGGTAATGTTTAATGCTCTGTTTCATAGCTAGTTTTTTAAAGACTATTACAAGTCACTGTATTTAACTTTTACTACTATGATTTGCATATATTAAAAGTTATAAAGCCTGCTGATAGTATGCACCATAACTGTTAAAACATATTATAGTTTTAATACTTTATTAATTTTTTTTAATTTAAAAATTATTTTCTATTTTTTCACTGTACACTAGGAGGCAGTACAGTCCAACTTTTTAATGTGAGAAATTTGACATTTGAAAACATTTATAAAAATTGTTTAAAATTATTTTTATGAACAAAAATTGAAATTATTATAAAATGCATGATAAAGGATTAGAAAATATTTCAGAGTTAGATCCATTTGCAGTTTTAACTCATTGAAAGATCTTAATTTTTTTTTTAATCTTAGTTTTTTCTTTGAATTTTGAAAAAGCATGACTTAAGGGAAAAGTCAGTTGTACTTCCATTTCACGCCCTGTGCTTGTCTTGAACAGCAGGCTCTGCCCACAGACACAATTTGCTAATCAGTACTTACTTTGTGTAACTTTTCAGATCATTTGCTTCACTAAGGAAATCTGATTATTAGTACAGCCTTGGAATGTTACTGGTAAAATAGATTATTTAATATTTAATAGCTAAGTGAGTAATAGTAGTTTATTGGATATATTTTATATTTTTGTAAATAGAAGATTCTAATTTCAAGTAAATACATTGAGTCCTTCATATCTTTTCTCTCTCATGTATTTTAGTTAGTTTCTCTGTCCTTGTATTTGCTTTCTTGTATTTTCTCTTTCTTTTGGTTAATAAAGTTATTTTGTGTGAAATAAATGCTACATGCCCTGCATCAGATTATATGGGGGTCTGCTTACTAACCATACCTGTCCTTTTTGATTTTCTGAATTTCTCACAGCTTATCCTTAAGTCTACTCAGCTTGAGTTACTTGATTGCATCTACCTGTTTTTCACATTTATTTTTTATTTACCATGTTTGTGTGTCTTTTTTTTCTTCTTGTTAGCTTATAACTTTTTCACATTTTCTAATTTTTCCTACTTTTAGTGTGATGTTTACTTTTTTAATAGAACAGATATTTTTAAGTTCTCATTTGATAATTCAGATAAATACAGCTACATTTTTATGATCATAAAAACCAAATGCCATATAACCCTACCAATTGTTGCCAATTGTTGCCAATTGCTATTATAACAATATTCAGAGGAGACAGAGACTTGCTGATCCAGAAAGGTGCTAAGTAGTCTTAACATTGTCAGTTCTGTGCATGACTTTTAAAGCATTAAGAAATGTAGCTGGGCTTGGTTGCACAGGCCTGTGATCCTAGCGCTCTGGGAGACTGAGGCAGGAGGATCTCAAGTTCAAGTTGCCTGAGCAAATTAGTGACTTAGTGAGACCCTGTCTCAAAGTAAAGATTTTTATAAAGGGCTGGGAATACAGCTCAGCAGGAAGGCTCAGGACCCAGTCCCCACTACTGCAAATGAAAGCCATCCAGCGGAAATGTTCCGTGTGTACTGTAGCACCCACTAACCACCTAGTGGGAATTGGCCACTTACAGTATTGCTTGTGTGACTGGGGAAATGAATTTATCATTGTTTTTAACTTTGACAATAAAATCTATATATAATAAAGTCTCCAAAATAAAGTCTTAACAGCACTAAAATAGAAAATATCTATTGCAAGTCATTAGCTTCTGTGTGTACTAAGGTTTTGGAGTCTAATTTGATGAGAGAAAAAAAGCCTTAGGAATAGGAACCCTCATTTAATACAGCCCTGTTTAACAGGTATTTGTTTAGTGGATTCGTTTTAGCACACATCAGACCTATACCCTTGAAATTTGAGTACAAACAGTAAAGATCAGTTACTCCACCAAGACTCCATGAGTGCTTTCTTGAAGAACTTGCGGTGGATTTGTGAACGTTACATGTCCAGAGGGCTTCCTGGGCCTTCTTTTGACCAAATAACACACAAAATCACATTCAGATCAACAATGAGAATAACCTTAAAAAGAGAAAAATAAATCATGGAGCAGTTCATTTGCCACATTGGAAATGGGTGTTGTGGGGAGGAAAGAACTTCTCATCCTGGTAAGTTGTGAAGATGTATCATGAATATAAGATTGCACGTCTTCTGGGTGGTCTGGGAGCAGGACAGCCTGGTTTGAATCCCAGCACCACCCTTTGTTTGCGGAGCTCTTTATCCTCGGAGAATCTGTTTTCCCTCTGTGAAATGAGGCCAGTTACAATGCTACTTCACAGCATCACAAGATGTAAAAACGAATACATTCACCACTGTCCACGCAGGAAGCTTTCAGGGCGCCTTAACCAGGAATGTCGTGCACTCCATTGTACAGGGTCAGTCTCGTGACGTGGCCAGCCTTAGCTGAAGTGAGGCCGAGGTGCCTCCCAGGATGGAAACAGGACTGGGCTGCCAGGCTTCTGGTCACCAGTGTGTGACAGATGGTTTGAGCCACGGATTCGCATGTAAGTTTAGAAAACATTAGGCTGTGAAAAATTGACACATACATGGGTTGTTTTTGATCTCGTCCTTTTTTTCCTTTTCTTTCTTTTTTTTTTTTTTTTTTTTGGTACCAGAGATCGAACTCGGGATCTTGCGCTTGTGAGGCAAGCGGCGGAACCACTGAGCTAAATCCCTGGCTTTCCTTTTCTAAATGACCGGCAAATTAAAGGAAGAGAGCCTAAAGCAAATAGTGGAGTACAAGTAGTGGGAGTCCCTTTTCTGCTGCTTGCTTCTGCGTAATTTCTCAGGTCCCTTTCTTTCCAGTGTTCGTGCTGCTCGTTTTCATCACTGCCTCTAGTTTTGATTGCTCCGCCCTTCCCGAGTCACGTGAGCCCCAGGCCTGTCTGTTTTTCAGATTGTGAAGCTAGCCGTGTACGGCATGCTGCCAAAAAACCTGCACAGAAGAACCATGATGCAGAGGCTGCACCTCTTTCCAGACGAGGTGAGTCGGGTGATGTCGCTGCCTCTCCCTGGCGCCAGCCAGACATACACGCCTCTGCGTTGCCCTCAGTGCCGCGGGCTCACTGTCCACAGTTTTATCTCCATTCTGACCAGATTAAAGTTTTGTGCTTTAAAATGGATATATGTGATATATGTTTGATAATTACTCTTATTTTAAGCCATAAAATGAGCCATCATTGGACTAAAAATCAAAACTACAAGTTCTGGGGTTTCATTTTACTTTTTACTGCTTTCGTTTAAAGAAGGAGCTATGATCAAAGCCCTGTTCAGTAGAGGCACTCGTTGATAGTTTCCATATGAAAAGCGAAATATTAATTCAGCTCACTTTTTATTGATAAGTGGCAGTCCTTCAGTGAGGCATGGATTTGGGTGCTGACTTTTCCCCATGATTTAACTTTACAATTCTTGTACCTATTAGAATTTATTCAGCTAAAAAGTACTTTTTAAAAGCCTACTTTTGTTACTGTTGTGCCAAGTACTTAGCTTCTGTCAGTCTAAGTTGAGCACACAGGCTGTGGAATCCGGCTGCCCCGGTTTGCATCCACGTCCCCGCGTTGACTTGGTGCATGGACGCGGTGCAGACGCTCGCCACCTCTTCTCCTCTGTGAAGGCGACATCATAACCCGCCTGTGTCGCAAGGCTGCGTGAGAGTGAAGTGGACATGCCTGTGCAGCGCTCATAGCAGAGCCTGGCACACTGAGCTGTGGCTGTGATTGGTCGTAGCTGTTGTCCTCCCAGTTGGACTGAAGGAGTGAGTAGTGCAGAGATTCACTCCAGAGCGGCAGCTCCCGGCAGCTCTCGCCTCCGCCTCCGTGTAGGCTTTATTGTGAGCTGAAACAATGCCCTACGAGTAGTGATGATTCATGCCTCTGCCTACCTCAGGTGGAGTGAGCTCCGGAGCAGTATGATCAATGAAGGGTAAATCACAAGAATCTAAACTCTTGCTTCCGGGTTTACTGTCAGAATTTTTCAGAATAATGATTTATTACACTGTTATTCATAATAACTACTAGCTGTAAGTTAATGGTGATTATTTGCTCAGTTACGGTGTAGTCGGCTTTGAGTATGATTGTTTTAAGTACTCGTGTTGTTTAGAGAAGTGGGATGCGCTGTGCGGTGGACCTTTGACCTTTTCAGGCAGCCTCTAACAGAGAGGGCCATTGGCTTTCCTGGGCAGCCCAAGGGCGCTTCTGTGGGTGGGCTGGGTGTGAGTGGTGACCGCTTTGGTCACCGTGCTTCTCAGCTTTCTGCCGAAGTCACAACCCTAACCCGGCTCTGCGTTTAGATGTGAGTGAGGGTAGGCGGAGTCAGGAGGTGCAGTGGGTGTGCAGAAGTGAGGTCCCACAAGTTGTCGGTGCTGGCTCATTTAGGGACGGTTAGCAGGGCATGAGACCTGAGCCCCACAGATGCTGAGTCCCGGCATGCTTTTCTGGCACCAACCTGAAGCACGGACCGGATGGAAAGGGGCAGCAGTGGGCGTCCCAGACCTGGGCTGCGGTCATCAGTGTTAGGGCAGAGGCCCGGCCAGCAACGCCTTTTCCTGAGTATCATGAAGAGATTGAGCAAAACGGTACAGTCAAAATTTAATAAAGTGGATTACTGTGTTATAAAAGGATCTCTTGGCATCACTGGTCAGTTGTACTTTCCAGGGATGTATACAGGTGATTTTAAAGATGATCGCTTTCCTCATTCTTAAACATCCTTTTGTTTATTTTTCAATCCAAGTATCACTAATTGATTAGTGAGAAAGCTGTTTTAAGAAAACTAAGGCCCCTGTGTTTGCCATAGGATATTCCGGAAGATCTCCTCAGGAACCTAGTGGAGGAGCTTCCACAGCCCCGAAAGGTGCCCCAGCGTCTGGACGAGTACACCCAGGAGGAGAGAGAGGCGTTCCCCAGAGTGTGGTCCCCGTAAGTGTGCCTGTCTTCTGTCTTACCTTTCAATTTAAAGCTGCGCTCATGTCCTGTGTCCGCAGTGACACGCTGACGTCCCTAAGAGGGGAGGGAGTTCATCTTCGCTCACTTGGAATCGCAGCAGCTACTACCTGCAGATCACCTCCAGAGCTCACTGTTAGACCTGCAAGTCCGAAGCCCTCTGCCCTGCCAGCTACGTGCAGGGGTGCTTCGGGAGACAGCCTGATGTTGCGGGTCCTGGGGAGTGGTGGCTGCTTTGTCACAGGCCCAAAACCAAGTGACTCTAGATCCGATTGCTTTCCACATGGCTTCGTGTGTGAGGAATATCATCTAATGAAAAGTCATTAGTTCTGGAGCCAATAGTTTTGAGCCAGTAAAAAACAAACCAATTTTCCTTTCCTCCATACAATTTCCTCTATCTCGAGGCCATAAAGGTGCTAAGATTTGACAGCCTGTCTCCCACCTAATTGTTCCCAGGCTTCTTTGGGATCCACCCCAAGATGAGCATTAAAATCCACTCCCTCAGGAGGTCCTGCCCCAAATCGGGATGATTTATGCTCCCCATTACAGGGTCTTATTACATACTTTCATCTTCTGCATCTGTCCTAACGTAATGAAGTATTTGTGTGATCATCTGTTTACTGTCTCATTTCCCTTGCCAGATTTCATGAGAGAACCACACACTTGTCTTTAGCACTGGGCATGGTGTCTGGCGTGTTAAGTAGGCGTTTGACGTGTACTTATGGAATGGAATGAAATCATGACACAGTTCCCTCTATCAGCTTTTATAAATATATATATATATTTTTTTGATACCAGGAATCGAACTTAGACCCTTAAGTTTGCCAGGCAGGCACTGGTGTTGCCAAGCAGATTCCCCTCCCTGTCATTAATGCATGAAGGTAGGAAAAGATATCTAGGAGATTGGAAGTGAGAGCCACTTTGCCTTTTTTCACAGCTTTTATCACTATGCAAAATAGTCTCCTTTATTTATATGCATGTTTACATTTCTCTCCCTGGACTAGTAGCAGTAATAAAAGTAGCAAACTCTAACAAAGCATTTCAGGTGTACTTTTACACATATCAGCAGCCTGTCTAATCCTGTGAGCAAACTCACAAGTTAGGATTTTTATCTCCATTTTTTACAAATGAGAAAATACAAGCACAGAAAGATACAATGATGCCTAAAGTCTCATAACAGAGTAGAGGTCAGGGATGTGGTCACTTCCGGGAGAGCACCAAGAGAGCCCTCCTTCCCAGCATCCTCGGGGTGCCAAGTGCTGTTCAGTGTGGGGCGGGGCACCGTCGTGTTCCTCACTGCCGTCCCAGCTCCCGGAAATCACCCTTGTTACCTTGGACTCCCTCCTTGGAGGTGCTCAGTAAGTGGTCTGGAAAAAATGAAAAGTTCTTTTTCCTAAAAAATGATGTTGAAGGGCTGGGGATTTAGCTCAGAGGTTCCGCCACCTGTCTTGCAAGCACAAGGACCCAAGTTTGATCCCCAGTATCAAAAAAAAAAAAACTAAAAAATGTTGTTGAAGTTGTCATAAATTGCCTAACATGAAGTTTTTTTAAAATCCAACATCACTTAGTTCTTACCTTTTAGTACCTAACTCCATATCACTCAGTTTCTGCATTTGAAATAAGTTTCTTCAACTTGGAATGGACCTGATCCATCCTTCAGGGCATGACGGAAGAATAAGTGAGCTAATAGCTGCAAATCTTAGCACCTCTCAAGTGCTGACCAAGTTTTAATGGAGAGCAATTTTGTTATTATAAACCCTATATTGTTTCAGTGTGCTTGCTCATGTAGTATTTTTGTAAATGTAGTTTATCGGAGGCTGATCAGTCCCCTGATCTGCATAAAAAGGGTTATGGCACAGGGTAAAGAAAGACAAAGAGACACGCTTTCAAAGTACATAGGGAACTGAGGGGTCAGTGCCAGAGTGAGCAAAGACAAAGACACTTTGAGCTGGTCACTGTTTATTGGGTGCACACAATAATCCAAGGGAGTATTGGGTGACTCAGAGGGTGGCAGTGATCTTATGTTGATGAGGATCTTATGTTGATGAGGATGGTGGGATGGGCAAAGCATTCTTACAATAGCAGTTGAGAAGGGATAGCAGGTTAATAAGGAGTTTATCCTTTTCCCCCAGGCAAAACTTTTTTTATTACTACTTGGTTCTCAAAGAACCGGGTTGTATTCAGCTGATGTAATCTTGCCCCGGAGTGTCACAGCATCATGGGACCATTGAGGCCTCAACTGTAACTGAGGCACACAGGGGTATGTTTCTGCATACCATAGCAGGTTCACACAGCAAGACACTAGGCCTCAGACGAGCCCTAACTACAATTTAATTATGAAATGATTTTTCCCAAAAAATTATAGAGAATGGCTCTTGACAGCATTTAAGTTGTATGCTACTCCAAATACTGAGTTTTGATGCATTGTATGCTAGAAGAGTATGTTAATTAGTCCTGGAATTTTGGCCTGTGGCCTTCTACGAATCCTAGGAATACAGGTGTATCATATTAGACAAATCCCATTGTCAGTGAGCTTATATTCCTCACCAAGAGGGCTGTGGTACCTGCTTTATTCTAACTAGAACCACCAAAGGTATTGGACCAAACTTGGAAGTTCTGAATCATAATCTAAAATGTACCCTAAGATCATTTAACCAATGAAGTCTATTCAAGAACTAACCATTCTTAACCTGTTCTGCTTGGTGCTTTATAATCAGAGAGTACTGATCATAATATTCCTTTTTCTAAATGATCCCTGCTTCCTTTGGAGGTAAATGAGAAGATGACATGAATGTCTTCCTGAGATGAGTAAGACTAGAAAGGCTTTTCTGTGTTATTTTTAAGGAGATGTTTAGAGAAACTTAGAGCCACGGGTGCATTATTGAGTTGAGTTTTCCTATGCTTTCTTCTCATTCCAAATTTCCCTGTGGCAGGAATATGCAGACTCCTTTATGGCTTATGAAAGTTAGGATCTTTCCTCATAAATACCAAGCATATGTTAACTTTTGTTTCTACAACAATGAAGTAGATATACATTTACCAAAACTAGAGGGCATTTCGTGGCATAGGTATTTATTTATTTGGTCACTTAACCTAAATCCTTCAAATTTTGATTCTCCCAGCACATTAGAGCTGACAGCCAGCTGAGTCCAGTAACTCTTTATCACATGAAAAGCAGGTGACCAGGAAAAAAATGTCATTTGGGGATTAACCAAAAACTTAGTATCTAAGAAATAGATGACTGTCGCCCAGGGCTGTCCAGTAGAGCTTTCTGCCGTGTGAAAGCTCTTTCTACCTGAGCTCTGCACACCACAGCTACTGACCATGTACCTTGCCAGTGTGCCTGAGGTCTGAATTTGTGATTTTATGTCATTTTAATAAATTTAAATTTCAGTAGCTGCATATGTGGCTAGTGACTACATTATTGGACTATGACATTACTCTTTTTCCCCATTTCATAAAGTCCTTGCAGTAAACATTATATACTTTAGAATATACCCTGCAACTGGGCATAATGAAAATGAGATTTCTCATTATTGGAAGGCTTGCCTCTATAAGAAGAAAAGAAGTTTTCTCTTTTTGGAGGAGGAAACTTCTTCAAATATGCTTTTGGTCCCCCAAAATAGCTAAGCCAAGAGTATAATCTCCCCTGGGAATATAGTAGCTGTCGTTCATCCAAGATAGATAGGATGTGGCCTGCAGACACCCAACTCCCACAGATACACCTGGATCGCACACAAGCAAATGCATAGAGGTAGCGCCTGGCTTGTCTTCCCCAGGGATAAAATTTACAGTGTGTTTACAGCATAGAAGTGTACATCATAATTGGGACTTTCATTAACTTTTGGTAAAATGTAAGTTTATTAACTCTTATTAGAGACTAAAAGTTACAATTGTCAAACTTAAGCTTTGGCCAAGTAGATGATAAACAAAATTGTTTTAATTGTTGGGATTTCCTTTAAATTAAGCCTCCTACAAAAGTTACATTCTTTCAGGACTAATTTCAGCAGGTGTTAGGCTTTTTTTTTTTTTTTTTTGCTAATAATTCATTGTTTAGTTATTTTAAAAACCATAGGAGATAAAGAATGAAACCAAGATTTATGACAAAGCTATTTTTTAAAAAATAAAAGCCATTTTCCCATATGGGTAGTACATAAAAGGTATTCATCTTGCTTCTTAAATTAATGGATATGCTTAGCATGTTAGTATTTATTATATTTTGTGCATAAATATATATCTGTTCGCCATGTGTGGGTAGAGATCATGGGGTTTGCACTTAAAATTTGTTTCTCTTTTTCATGAGAAGAAAGAATAAACGGTAGCACTATCCTTTTTTTACTATTCGGTTGCTTGAAATTTTAGCTTTCCGGTGGACAATTTATTACTTCCATAATTATTGCAGTTTTTCAACATATTACAAACCCCTATAGTCATGGAAATGATAATGCTGTGAATGCAATGGAAATTTTTTATTATGAAGGCTAAACTTAAAATTTGAATCATTTAAATTCTTTTATTTTCAATTTTTACAAATTCTCTGAGGATTGGGAAAAACTAGGTGGAAAATTTCAACTTGAATTGCTTTCCATTCTAATTCCTCACTCATTAACTCAGTCCTGCCTGATTTTAAGCAAAGTCCTGCCTGATTTTAAGCAAAGCCCCGCCTTTGCACCGAAACTGGAAAGCAACTGGAAAGCGGAGCATCATCTCAGGCTCAAGGGCAGATCTTCACAGTGCAGCCCGCATTCCTGGGGTTTGTCCCTCAGACTGCGCTGGCTGTCGGAAGGGACCGGGGCTGCACAGGAGAAAGGCAGGAGGGGCTGAGGCCAGGTCCGGGCGGGGACGACCAGCTAGGCCCTGGTGTCATCTCGCGGGCTCAGGATCAGCTTTATGGCGTGGCGATTGTAGCAGTCACCAGCTCTGGAAGAGGAAAACGGCCTCCGTGTGAGGGACGCTGGCCTGGGAGGGGCTTGCTGAGCGTCCTGTGGAGCCGCCCATCCCTCCCCGACGTCGCAAGGGCTTCTGCTCACAGACTGATAGGAGCGCTGCTAACCCTAAAACTACATGTGTTCAGTTTTACTTGCAGTGATGCTAAAAACAGTGTACTTGTGTGTTTATAAAATATGCACTGGGTCACTCCGTAACTTAGACAGTGAGGAAAGAGTTTTACCTTTTTAAATTTCATAAGCAGCCAGGGTCTGGACAGTGTTAAGATTTTCCAGAACTTGATGCTGGTCCAGTCGTGTGGCATCTCCTACAAGACTTCATTCAGTTTGCTGCTCCTTGCAGCGAGAAGCTGTTATCTGGACTCAGGCATGAGTGACTTCCCAGCTTCCCACCCAATGCCGTCAGCTCAGCACTGGCTCAGGGCACTGCCCTCCCTCCATGTTTGCAGCCCTGACTGAGTCTACTCCAGCCAGCTGCCTCGGAGGTATTGCTCTGAGCTGGGCCAACTCGGGGCTGCGAGACAGACGCCAGGTCACTACATCTCCCAGCCAGTTTGGGTGCTGGTGTCAAAGGTGCTGACTCTTCCTCAGTGTTCCCTGTACAGCTAAGGCTTTTTTTGTTTTTGTAGGGATTAGAACCAGGCCTCCTGCACCCTAGGCAAGCACTGTACCACTGAGCTGCATCCTCAGCCCTTTGTTTTTCTCTTGACTTTTCTTTCCTCCTTCCCTCCCTCCTTCCCTTCTTCCCTCTCTCCCTTCCTTCTTCCTTTTGAGATAGGATCTCTGAGTTGCCCAGGCTGGCCTTTAAGATCCTCCTGTCACAGCCTCTTAGTAGCTGGGATTATATGCAGGCACTACCGTACCCAACTAACATCTTTATGGAAAATGTGATGTCCCAGATTTCCTAAAATGGTTTATTCTAAATAATTCATCTATACAATGGAAATGACAGAAATTCAATCACATTGACCTTTAATTGTTTTGTGGGTTTTTTTGGTACCAGGGATGGAACTCTGGACCTTGTGCTTTTGAGGCAGGTGGCAGCACCACTGAGCTAAATCCCCAGCCCAACCTTTAATTGTTTTTAAGATCAGTTAGCTGTCCAGATTTTATTGTAGTTCTTAAAATGTTTTGTGGAATAGCATTATTCCAAGAAATATTATTTAGGAGAGAAAAGACAAAAGACTTAAGGGAGAATAAAATATTTTTGAGATTTATTAAACGTAAATTACACCCAAGTCCTTAGATTTACAAGTGAAATACGAGTTCTTTTTTACTTGGAAACCAGATTATCTTAATGGGACTAATAATGCTATCACTAATTGAACTGTGGGACAAACCATGTGCTTAATAACTTCGTGTTTCTTTTTACTCATACACTACTTGGATTTTTTTCACAGTTTTACAGTATCCACTAAAATCTCTATTCTGAAGTCAAAGGGTAAATTCTTTTATCAAAATGACGTTGTTTTTGAGATAATGTAGCTATGTGGACCTCCGTCCTTTGTGTCTTCTGAGTTTGCATCTGCATTTCGAGAGGTGCTTGTTTCCCCTTGGGAGTGGCCGGCAGCGTTTCGCTAGGGGCGAGTGGTGGTGGGATCCGCTGTAGACACTGGGGATCATGTGGAACACAGTGGGGCCACCACCATGGGAGGGGATTTCCTGTAGCACACACAGACCTGGTTGTTTTCTCATTCAGCAAAGTAATGCAGTTCTCAAAAAGTGTGCTGCTGGAAGGCAGTTTTCTGCCATTGGTGACTCTTACTTGTCAAACAGATCTTCACTGCTGGACATTTGCTAGGTATGAAAAATAGCATGATCTAGAGTAGGAAGTAAGGAGAGCCTCAGGTTAGCTCATCCCCGGAAGGGTCATTCATCTCCCAAGTGTAGTTTAAAACTGTCACCTTTCTCTCAAAGGCCAAAATATGTATGTATAAATAATCGATTATGGCATATGTTATAGCTGTATTACAAATTGTATGTCATGTATGTTACACAGATGTAAAACATCCCTCTGCTAGCAGATGCACTCTCTTCTTCCTCCCTGCTACTCTATTCCTGTTAGAAGCAGTAGGACCAACACACCTGCCCAAATGTATGCTGAATGAGTGAATGAATGCATAAAATCATATCCTCTGTAAAATAGAGATATTAACTTCTAATTCATAAAGTATGGTTCATATTCATATTTTGGTCTTTGGTGTCTAAAGCTTCTTAATAACTATAGCCAAAGTAGGAACTTTGCTTAACAGTCTATGTTCTCAGTTCAGCTGGACCAGGCCTGTGCTCCAGCTTTGGCAATGAGCAGCTGACGGTGGTAACGAGGTTCTTGTACTCAGGCAGTAGACTTGAGGTCTTCTTAGCTGGGCTGTCTGGTATCCTGTGCTATATCAAAATGACTTTCTACATCCTGCCAGATCTGACTTCTAATAGTTTGTTTTGTTAAACAAATTTCTATCTATGTTCATACTTTTTTCTTCTATTATCTTTATC